ATACCCTGTGCTGGGCTGGTACCCCGTCCCAGGTGCCCCCTGCCTGATACCCTGTGCTGGGCTGGTACCCCGTCCCAGGTGCCCCCTGTCCCAGGCGTAATTGTAAGATGTATGAAAAATTAATTCAGCCAAAAACATTATTTAATTACAAACATCACAGAACTTGTATTTTGGGCGTAAGCAGTGTTCTGATGGTGCCACATTTGAGTTACCAGCTGTTTTCTTTCTCCCATAATATTCATAATAAAGCTGAGGACTGAGACACAAAGCAGTGCCTGTATGGCCGGGCGACACGCTCTATCTCATCATGTCTATTTATCGATAATGTCGGGGTGTTGAGCTCCCAAACTGGAACACTAACACAATCCTCGCCGGTCCCTCTTCACTTTTTATTTGTCAGATGCATTTATCCAAAGCAAAGTACAGTTTAGAAAAGCACTCGGTCCCAGGGGCAATTTGAGTCAAGCTCATTACTGTCAAAGAGCCCAACAGTGGAACTGAACCAGCAACCATCTGGTTACAGACACGGTGCCGTGACCTACGGAACCACACACTGTCCCCTACTACTACAAGAGGAATTATTACAAGGATGGACCACATCTCTCAGGTGTTACAACCTGTCAGTGAGTCTGTAAAAATTACACCGAGTTTATCTGAACAGCCATAGATGATACAGTATTGATCTGGCCCTCAGCATCCTGCTCTCAAGAGCAGCCTGATTCATGTCTCTTTGTATTCATTTCTATATCATGTTTTGCTCACCCACACTTCTAATGTAGCTTTTGACAGGTGAGAGACGTTTTTAATAAAGAACAGTGTTTCCTGTCTTTTCTATGGATTTGCATGGGTTCTATTCAGGTGGATCCAGCAACAATATGTATAATTCTTGTGCTTTCAGTGCTGGTGCTTTTCAAATCCAAAATTAATTCACTAACAATTTTTTCAAGGAAGAAATAAGCCTAGATCTTACACATTAAAGGTAACTGGAAATTTCTTGGCATAAAACATGTGACTTCTGCACATGTTTCAAGTGATACTTTGCCAGTGTAGACAGTATAAAAATAGGCTGCTATACTGACAAATATGGTCAAAGATCACATGATTGAGCGCCATACTTTCAAGAAGGAGATTCAGCAGGACTGGTTTCTGCAGGAAGACAGAATTAAACAGGGTCTAGTCCACATAACCATGGAAACACAGCAGAACATAGCAGGACATCTGCTACAGTTTTTTATGGTAACATTAATTTATGTTCTAGCTTATCTTCCTCCAGCTGTTTGCATTCCGTCACTCGTATTTTTAAAGTTCAAAATACTGAAATCTTACTACCTCCTACTATCCGATTCACACATCTTAATACAGGCCCTGAAACTTCTTAAAAGATGTTTTTCACATTAACGGGAATCAGTTGTCCAGGCAGCTATTTCTAAAAGCATTATTTCTTGTGCATTTTGTAGACTTCTGATAGGCCAAACTCCCAGCATGACAGCTAACGCCAGGGGGAAGCTAACTCCAGTGCACTGGAGGACTTTACTTGGCCCCAATCCCGCCAGTTTCACTGGACATTTCCAGAGCTCACCAGCTGGCCACAGAGCAGTGCAGCACCAAAGATCTCACCGCAACATCCCGTAACAAACACTCCTACAGCACGCAGTAATCACTCAGAAGGGGGCATCCTTCAGTGGTACTAAATAACGCCTTGGGGAGACGACATAAAATAGAGCTTAAACGGCCCACAGGTTGTAGAGTTTTCGCAGTCATTAATTTGAGATGCAGACTGGTTTCTGAACAGTGTAATATAACACACAACGTGACTTGCATGTGTGATTATGATGTTTAATCCAGAACCGGGCCCATAGATGCCTCTTATTTGTTAAGATCACATTACTCACCTCGCAGCATAAGCATCTGGCGATCTGTCAGGATTTACATACGCACGCTGGGCTTTGTGAACGTACATATTATTAACTGAAGAGAATAAACATTTGTAACTCAGTGTCTTCTTCATGAGTAGAAATTAATTCGGCATTCAGGCTAATTAAAAATCATTTTTTGTCTTTTTTTGGGAAAGAGACGGGGAACTTAAGCATATAGCTATGTTTAACAGGTAGCTGGTATCCGGGTGGTTCCATAATAAATACCACACAGGTTTGTTGTATGAACATTAATTCAACATTTTCTGAAGGTGGGCTGGGTCAAAGCAGAGTTTGACGTGGGCATGGCGATGACGCTTGTCATTTGTACTCCGTTCCTTAGGAAAGTCAGTGAAAGGGTATCAGCACATCTACAGGTACCATTTTATGCTGTGTTCATTCCCCAATCGTGAGTAATAATCATAAGAACAGCAGGGGATTACAGAGGCCCAGTCCGCTTGTGTTTTGGCACCCACGTGACACAGTTTTGTTAATGGTCCGCTTGTTTCTGCCTGTTTGCTGGGAACGGCCACTTCCTGGTTTTTTTTTATCTTGTAAGTAACTTGCAAGGGCAGTGGTGGCTTAATGGTCAGGCGCACTCGTAATCGGAAGATTGCAGGTTCGAATCCCCGACCAGCAATACACCACTGAAGTACCCTGAGCAAGGTACCGTCCCCAAGCACTGCTCCCCGGGCGCTGAATTAGCTGCCCCCTGCTATGTCACGAAAGTCACATATGGGTCAAATGCAGAGGACACATTTCGTTGTTGTGCACTGTGTGCTGTGGTGTGTCAATAATCACAAATAAAAAAAATAAAAAATAAAAACTCTGTCAGTATGTGGGGAAAAAAACATGGCAGCTCATTTTTCCAGTGAAATAATCCATTGCTTATATACCAGTGTTTATGTATTGCTGTAATTAAACAAAAAGTTCTGATCCATAATATTCAAAACATGTTATGATCCATATTATTTATTTCATTAAACACTTAAAACAGACAATTCACTGTCAGAAAGAAAGTACTGATCTGTCACGAAGGCTGTATCCTCAAAGATCTGCTAATTGTATCCTAGTTGTAGCTAAATGTACTTTTTAGGGTATAGAAACGGACTCTGACAAACATTTTGTATACCATTGTGGGGTACATCAGTGTTGCAACAAAACTGAACCAGGGCTATACATTGTAATTCATCATTTAACATAAAGAGGTAAACTCAAATAACTGTATTTAAGCTGATATCACAGGGGATGAGGCAGGGGGACACCTGAGATGGGGAACCAGCCCAGCACAGGGCACATGCACACACACACACACACACACACACACACACACACTGAAAGGCACACAGGTGGATTCTAATCATTTTTGCATAGCTAAGACTATGCAAGCTGGCTGTGACTGAGCTAATCTAACTGTGTCATAGCCAGGATGTTGTTAATTATCATTGGTTCTTTTTGTTTTACCGTATGATAAAGTCTGAATTACGATGGTGTCTGTACTGGTGGTCTGTACTGGTGGTCTGTACTGGTGGTCTGTACTGGTGTGCAGTTGACTGTACAATCAGGTGCTTGACTGGACTGAAGGGTGAAGAGCAGAAGTGGAAGTGTGGAGGGTTTAGCTAACAGCATGTATCTCATTCAGGAAGCTCTCGGGTGCAGTAGAGCAGCGGCCCGACGTTAATGGCCGTCCTGAATGAAAGCCGATATTTTTAAAAATTTGATTTAAAAGAAAGAGAGCTGGGCAAGACTTTACTGTAAGAAATGAAGTGCTGCATTATTCCTTTTACATTCTCATTTTAGACCCTGTGGCAATACTGTGGTTCATAGTGAAAAATCCACAAGGTGGAAAATGTATAAGTTTACATTAAGATGAAAAAAGCCCAACTGATAGGAGCTGAGACTAAATGAAATGCACCCCAGGCTGCAATCACAGCTTCTCCAGAAAGCATCTTAAGTAGAAATGTAACAACATTCTTCCTTTTTTTTGTGCAAATAAATCTTCTGCAACCCCCCGAAACAATCCTATGAAACATCTCTAATGTGATTTGTGGGTAAGGCAACGTAACCATGTATCTGCACAACATTGATTTGTGTTTTTCAGGTTAGCTGGGTTAATTATCTGAAGGTGCCGTTATCTACGGCAGGTCCAGCACTGCCCCCCCCCCCCCCGCATCTCCACAGGTGCCTGTGTTTTTCCATTTGGTGCCGAGTAGTTAGGGGGCAAAGCCGCCGCACCAGGTTCGAAATGTAGTTTCTGATTAAGAACAGCTGGGCTCATTAATTTGTGACCTTCGATTTAAGGTTTAATTGCCAAACAGGTGTTCGAAAGGTGCTTCAGAGCATCTGTGGGCCACGTGGTCAGAGGGCATGAGCCCTGAGGAGGTTGTATGAACCATACATGTACTGCGGCTGTTATGCTGTCACGTGCCTATAAAGCAGGGTGTCTCAACCTGCGCCTTGGGGCCAGCAGACTATCCCTACCGAGCTGGAAGGGAGCAAAATCCTGGACTGCTGGGAGTCCCAAGGAGAAACGCTGCTATAGGGCTTTGATAAAGTGTGTTGGGTTATGAGAGCACAGCCTTAAGCCAGCAAATGAGCCGTCCCTTTGTGCTAAAACAGATGCGTAATGATCCTTTAAGGAAAAAGCAGCCTGAGACTCTGGCTCTCTGTGCTCTAACGTGTCCATCCTTCCCCTGTGATGCATGAATGTGTGAAAATGTGCATCAGCTATCCTTCAGCTCTCTGTGGTCCAGGCTAATGAGGGTGATGCACAGTGCATCGTAATTCACTTACTGTTTGTCACTTATTCTCCCTGCATCCCTGGTCCTGTCCAGGATAAGCAGCTGGAAGATGTATGGATGGATTACGCTCCCTGCAGAAGGCGATTCTTTCCCAGGATAGGTGTGAAGTAAAGCTGATGACTCTGTTAATTTCACATAAAAAGGCTTTGACTTACTGAAGACCCTTAGTCAGGTACTGCACACAATTTCTGAGGCCATTTTGTGGACTAAGCAATCTCATCAAATCTGTTCCACCCTAAAAGCTAAAATATCCCACAACCACCTTTGGAGTCACATTAGAGTCCATTCAATATCCAAACTAGTCCCAGTCTCTGATGTCCTAATTGTGCTGATCAAAATCCATGCGCTGCTGGACAGGGTGATTTTTCCAGTAAATATCACTACCGATCTTCACATCAGACTGAAAGAATCATGAAATGAAAAATCATGATAACAGAAAAACGTTTCACATTCATTTCCACTCTTTAGCTGTATTTCTGTTAGTAAATATGTCATAATGCAAAGTACAGTCAGTCCTGTTACAACACGTGGTATCACACTGCAAATCTGTTGCAATGCAACTGATTTATATCAGTACCCAAGTCCAATACAACACAGAATCATATTTGCAGAATATTCAGTCAGAGAGAAAAGCACTATGTGAACTACAACGCAATATGGTCTTAGTGAGAAACACCACTTGCACGCAAAAACAGCCAGCTATCCAAGTGAACGTCTGATTTGTCGATGAATCGTTCTTATAAACCAGTTATATTCACATGAACTAGTTTTCAGATCTAAAACAATCAAACTTGTGGTTCATGTACGCATTGCATGGATCAAAATTTTGGATTG